CCTTCAATAATCGACGCTAGATAACATGGCAACCTTGTATTTGCCAAATGATTCATTGTATATGTCATTGTAACATCTCAAGTTTTAATTTCCTGATTAATTAAATTTAATTAGGGTAATTAAGTAAATTAAAGTGGTGTGTGGCCAGAGAGGTCTAACAACTATATTTGATGGTATTTCAGCCCTATTATGGGTCCAGTATCGAGGCGGGCCACTCGAGCATCGAAAGAAGAAGAAAAAGAAGAGTTGAAGTTATTGTGCCACACGCCGCGGTGCACAGCCATCTCTGAGCGAGGGAGGATCTTTTTATGCCATGCACCGCGGCGAACGCACAACTCGCCGCGTTGCATGGCCATTTTCTGCACTTTATCAGATGTGAATTGAGACAGAAAAAGAATGAAAAGAAAGGAGAGGCACGCCAAAACTCTACTAGGGTTTGCTTGGGGATTACTTTGAGAGTATTTTGAAAGCTACAAATACCCAAGGTAAGTATTATACTCATTAATCTTCCCTTTTTCTCCCACATTTATGAGTTTATGGTTAGGGTTTGATAGTGGAAGTGGGATTTTGGTCCTTATTGGTTGTGGATCTAAATTTGTTGACTCAAATGCAGTTACTGGGAGTAGATTAGAGTATTTAAACCTAGGTATGATTAGTTTTGGTGTTTTGGGTTGTGGGCACCATAAATGTCCAAAAATTCCATTTATTATGAGTGGTTGGAAGTTTGTGATGCCATTAATGAAAATTTAATAGCTCATTAATGCTATTGGGGGCTAAAGGTAATTATTAAACCCAATGGTTAGGCTCTACCTCTTGTAAAGTGAAGATTGGGCAATTTAGAAGTAGAGATTCAGGGTTTCAAATGGTTGAGTTTGTTATGTTGATGGAATTCAAATTGGTTGATTGTAGTTTTGGCTCTTGGTCACCTTTTGGAGTGGAAATCAAGCTTGGAGGCTAGTTAATTGAGGGGCAAACCTTTGACCAAAGGTTTGAGGTAACTAGGAGAAAACTCTACTTTAAGTAGTTGTATGTTAATTTATGGTTAATTGGTTGTTGAGTGTGAGATTATGAATGTTATATGTATGAAATTGATTGTTTAAGTAATAATTATATATTAGCTTCTTTAAATGCATGAAAAAGCTATTTTTGGGCTTGAAAATACAAGTGCAAAGTTAAGAGGATTTTATTATGAATGTGCCTGTATTTTTGAGAAATGAATGTGATGATGTGTAGAAATAGTTTTATGTTAATAAGAAATAAATTTTGAAAAAAAGATGAGAACACACTTGGGTAGCACAAAGTTGTGAACCCAACGTGATTGTTGTAATAGTGAGTATATGAAAGTGAAGAGTGAGAAAAAGTGAGTATGGTTTATGGCATGATTAGTGGCGGGAGTTCACCTAGGGATTTAGGAGTAGAGAAAATCCATATGGTAATTAGGCTGCCCTCCGATGCACGGGGGCTATAGCCTTGTCCCACTATTTGTTGAGGGACTATCCCATAGTTTATCAAGAGACTAAAACCTAGCTATCTCCACCAGTTTAATGAGGAGAATAGCCTAGGGTATGAGACACTTCAGGGATTCAAGAATGGAGGAAGCCGTGGTCCAAGAGTGACTTCTGTAATCTTTGGCTAAGTTATACCTCACGATTGGTGAGCTTGGGTAGTCCAGTCACATGGACGGAGCCCTAATCAGTGTTATATGATGTGTCACACGTGCTAAGTGGTGGTAGGTCACAAGAGTATAGGTCTTGTCATATATATGAGAACATGGCGATAATACACCTAGTTATGTAAGAAAAGAAGCTATAGAGTGATAAATGATAAAATGTGTTATATGGAGAAATGTTTTATAAATTTGATTTCATTGTGCATGTAATTGTTTTATAATTGATGTATAACTGCATAGGGTAGGTTTAACCTTGGTTACTGAGTGGCTAAACTCACCCCTTTTATTTAATACTTTTCAGGCTCTAGCTCTGGTGTTGAGCAGGAGAAGACTAAAGAAGCGGGGAATTAGTACATTCCTTCTTGTATGCCTCTAGTTTTGAAGTAGTTGTGTAATAGCATATGTTTGCCAATTCTAGGATGCATACTACCCATAGTTGCACTATTTTGGTTTAGAAATGTTAAAATTATATTTTAGGCCCTTAGCCTTTGTGTATTTTTATCATATATATGTTTATAGGGCCAAAATACTAGTGCAAGTGTAGAAGTAAAGTTTGAGCATGTTTTGAATGATTTGAGTTTAATACAATGCTATTTTACCTCCCCTTTTGTTTTTGGTAAATTGGGGTTGAGGAGTGAATTTTTATTATAATGATATTTCGATGCTTGTGACGTGTTATACTAGTAGTCCTAGGTCCTTTGGATATGGTCCAGGTGTTAGAAAAAGCTTTTGGCACTTGTTAAGGGTTTTTGACACCCATTTTGTATAAAAGTGTTGAAAAGTGATTAAATTGTGTTTGGACGTCCATCTTCCTAGTGTGATGTGTTTTGAAAGTCAAACCCATGCCATTAGCTAGTACAGGAAAAGGGCTTTCCATAGACACCTAGATCATGTTATTCGGACGTCGGACGGAGAATCAGGGTGAGCTAGAAATTCCACAATTTTGCTGTCGAATTGACAGCAAAACTAGTGGATTTTTGTGCAATACACCATGGCACATGGTGCTTGAGCCGCGGCGCATCGCATGTACACACCACGGCATAGAGTGCGCCTGCCGCGGTGCACTGCTATATTTTTCAGCACATAATGTATTCTTCACCGTTTTCGACTTCTTTCACTCCTCTGAAGTATCCCATGCTTTCAAAACTTATTTTTACTCTGATATGGAAGATTTTTATTGATGTTATTTTATTTCTACTTAGAAAACTTGGGATCCCTTATTTTTAAATTAAAAACTTGGTAATCACTTTTTGGAGATAATCCTTTGATTACCATGAGCTTTATTTGTTAAGTGTGGCTAATGGAGTGAGGATATTATAAACTTAGTATCAGTTTCTCTAGTTTTAAGAACTGGTCTGTGGTTTTTGTGATTGAGTTGTTCAAATTTTTTGTGTATTACATAAAGAGAATTGGCACTATTACACTTGTTATTTCCCTCACCAAGCCAGTGCTAACTCCTTTTTTCTTTTTTGGAATTATTTCCATCCTTAGGAGGGGAGAATATGGTGCAAACAAGAGCTACAAACATAGGAAATGCACCAGCAAATGTGCAAAGATCGGAAAAAGAATCGGTGAACTAAGAGCAATAACTAGGATCTCAACAAGGTAACAAAGACAATGCCCTAGATGAACTGAGGCATATGATGATGGACATCCAAAGGAGAATGGATGGTTATGACAAGATGCTTAGAAGAAGACTTGGGGAGAGTAACAGGACAGTGGAGAGAGTTGGGGTTAACCAACAGGAAGTTCGAGATGATGTGCATGCTGAGATGCATGGACATAGAGATGAAGAGTACTATGAGGAAAGTATTCCTGATAGGCTGGTGTGACTAGTGCTGCCTAGGATGAGTGAGTCAGAAGGCTCTATTGGTATGGCTTTGAAGTAATTCACAAGGTTGAATCCTCCTTCCTTTGAGGGTTATATGGAGGATCAAACAGCTGAGAAGTAGATCGATAGGCTTGAGACCATCTTCTTAGTTATGACCTATACGACTGAGCAGAGGGTTCTCTTAGCTGCTTTTATGCTTAAGGACACAACAAAGCAATGGTGGGAAAGTGTGAGGCCAGTGGATGGCTCACAGTTGACTTGGATGGTGTTCAAGAGGCAGCTCTTCACCCATTATTTCCCAGGCTCATTTCGAGCAGAGAAAGAGGTAGAATTTCACAGACTCCAACAGGGAAATATGAATAAGGAGGAGTTTATAGCGAAGTTCAATGAGCTATTGACGTACTCTACCTACCTGAGTCATCATGATGATGAGTATTGGAAGGCCAAGCAGTTTCTTAATAAGATGAGGCTTGAGTTCAGCCAACAGTTAGCTACCTTTGATATTACTTCCTTCAAGGTCATGTGTAACAAGTTCAGAGCTATAGCCAAAAGGAGTAGGGTGGTAGAGGAGAAGAAGAGAGATGGTCAAGGGAGATTCTCTTCCTACACGGGCCCTATGGGTAGAGTGAGTAAGAAGTCAGGTTTTAACCCAAGCATGTCTGGGAGGTATAGTGCTGGAGGAAGCAAGAGGAAGAGTTTCTAAAAGGGGTCCCAATCTAGGGGATCTAACTAAAGGAGCAATGCCCCAAGGCGTATAGGCGGGGTCAGAAATCAAACTTCCCAGTAAGGATCTACAACTCCATCCGCTATGATGCCAGCTAGATGTCACGGGGCTAGTCTTTCGACCCTTGCGGCACTTAGACAATCTTCACTAGAAGTTGCTAAGTAAGCCTAACTTGTATGAAAGGAGGATGCTTGGCTATGTTTGAGGAAAGGGAAAGCTTGAGGGTAAAGGATACTTGGAAGAGAGCTTGGAGAATGTGAGAGTAGTATTGCTTTGAGAACTCAAGGGTTGTGTGTTACAAATGAGGAGGAGTGAGGTATTTATAGGTCTCCCCCTTAATTATAGATATTTCCCATCTCCTTAATGGACAGTTGAGATTGAATTGATCCTACGGTTATAAATGATTCTCTAAAATACTCTCCTAGATATTTACAACAAATATCTAGATATTTACATGGAAAGATCTAGTAGCAAATATTAAAATATTGAGGCTAGAGTTGTGTAGACTTCTCTAGAATGCTCTTCCACTCTCTAGCACTCTTGAACTTTTTCAGGAGCCTTCTGGAGGGTTCTAGAACGTACTGGAGCTTCTTAACCTTATGAAAAATGCTAAATTGTGACATAGAGCTTTGTAGTGCAACAGATGTGGGAAACATCACTAAGGGCAATGTTGGGTTTGCTTCAAATGCAACAATGTGGGACACATAGCCAAGTTTTTCCCAGAGAACATACCTGCTCCTGATCAGAGATCCACTATCTCAGGACAAGTCTTTACCATGACCAGAGACGAGGCCAAGGCTTCACCAAAGCTGATTAGAGGTACAATTTTGCTTTGTGGTCACCAGATAGATGCTTTGTTTGATTCTAGTGCTACACACTCTTTTATATCTGATAATTGTGCCAAGAGACTAAACTTGCATGTGCTTGAAATGCTATTTGCCATAAATGTGTCTACACCAGCTGGTGCATTTGTGAGGACCAGTCAGGCTTGTTTGAAACTAGAATTAAAGTTTAGTGATAGAGTTTCTGTGATTGACTTAATCTGCTTACTTTTGAGTGGCATTGATGTAATAGTAGGGATGGATTTGTTGTCTGCCAATGGTACGACACTTGACTGTAATAGAAAAATAGTCTCCTTACCGGTTTACACAGCGACAATTGTTAACCATGAACCTGTCAAGTCATTGTCAGTAGTGGATTGTGAGACTCCCAGGTTCTTGATAGCCTTACAAGTAGAGGAGTCAATAAAAGATGGGTGTTAGGCTTTCATGATTTATTATTCTACACATGAAGTGTATGATGGAGGAATGGATATAATTGGTGTGGTGAATGAGTTTCCACAGGTGTTTGATGACCAAATGTCAGGATTGCCACCTGAAAGAGAGATTGAATTCTTCTTAATTGCTTTAGTACCTGGTACTGAGCCAATCTCTAAGGCTCTGTATCATATGGCTCCTGCAGAACTAGAAGAATTGAAAAAGCAGTTAGAAGAGTTGCTAGAGAAGGGATTCATCTGACCAAGTAGAGGGGATCGCTGGTGTTGTTTGTAAAGAAGAAAGATGGGAGTATAAGGTTGTGCATTGACTACAGGTAACTCAACAAAGTGACAATTAAGAACAAATATCCGTTGCTATGGATTGATGATTTACTAGACCAACTTGCCAGAGTTGCAATTTTCTCTAAAATTGATCTAAGGTCTGGATATCACTAATTGAGGGTTAAGGCATATGATGTGCCTAAAACTGTGTTTAGGGCATGATACGGGCACTATGAGTTCTTAATTACCCTTCTATTTGACAAATGCTCCTGCAATCTTTAGACAAATTTATAGTGGTTTTCATTGATGACATCATATACTCTAGAGATGAGGTAGAACATACAAGACATTTGAGGATAGTGCTGTAAGTGCTGAAAGAGCACAAGTTGTATGCGAAATTGAGCAAGTGTGAATTTTGGCTACGAGAAGTGAAATTTTTAGGACATGTTGCCTTTGCCAACGGCAGAGCAGTTGATCCATACAAGGTTGATGCAATATTACAGTAGGAGAGACCAATATTGATAACTGAGATAAGAAGTTTCTTGGGTTTAGCCAGTTATTATCAAAGATTTATCTAAGGATTCTCTCAAGTTGCTTCTACTTTGATGAAGCTAACAAAGAAGGATCAGCCATTTGTTTGGACAGAGAAGTGTGAAGAGGCATTTCAGACTCTGAAGGAGAAGTTAACTATAGTGCTAGTGCTGACTATTCCAGATCCCAAATGGCCATATGTGGTTTACACCGATGTATTACTTAAGGGACTAGGCTATGTGCTAATGCAAGATGATAGAGTTGTAGGTTACGCATTAAGATAGCCAAGACCGTATAAGGAGAGTTATCCAACTCATGACCTTGAACTAGTAGCAGTTGTGTTTGCTTTGAAAATATGGAGGCACTACCTCTATGGTTCATAGTTTAAGGTATTCAATAACCATAAGAGCCTAAAGTATTTAATTGATCAAAAGGAGTTAAATATGTGACAGCGAAGGTGGATGGAATTTTTGAAAGATTATAATTTTGAGTTGAGGTACCATCTGGGGAAGGCCAATATAGTGGTTGATGCTTTGAGCCATAAGAGCTTGCATGTTGCGTGGTTGATGATCCATGAGTACAAGCTACTAGAAGATTTCTCTAGTGAACACCAAAATAGTCCAGATTTCATTGTGTCTAACTTGAATACAATAATATTCACCAATGAATTCTGGAAGGACTTAAGAAAAGCTCAACTTGAAGACAAGTATCTGTTAGAGATTAGAGATGATATCGAGGCAAACAGGACCAAAGACTTTTGGTTTAACGATGATGGGTTAGTAATGTATAGAGATCGGGTATGTGTACCTGACGATAAAGGGGTTCGAGAGACCATTTTAGTTAAAGCTCATTGGAGTAAGTTCACCATTCATTCAGGAATTACTAAGATGTATCAAGACATGAAGAGTGGGTGGTGGTGGCCTGGTATGAAGAGGGAGGTGATAGAGTATGTATCTCGATATTTGACTTGTTAAAAGGTGAAGATCGAGCATCAAAGACCCTTAACATTGCTACAATCATTAGAGATTCCCATGTGGAAATGGGATTGTGTTTCTATAGATTTCATTATGGGATTGCCACGTACCCAAGCAAATCATGATGCTATTTAGGTAATTGTGGATAAATTGACCAAGTCTACTTATTTCCTAGCCATTAGAGCCGATTATGCCCTAGAGAAGCTTGCAAAGGTCAATATTCATGAGATTGTGAGGTTACATGGAGTACCGAAAGAGATTGTGTCAGATTATGATCCGAGGTTCACTTCAAACTTTTGGAAAGCTCTGCACGAGGCTATGGGTACAAAATTGAAGTTTAGTATGGCTTATCACCCTCAAACAGATGGTCAAACTGAGAGGAGCATCCAGACTTTAGAGGATATGCTATGTGCTTGTGCCATCGAGTGGGGTAGCAGTTGGGATAAGCACTTACCTTTGACAGAATTTTCATATAATAATAATTTTCTTGCGAGCATTCAAATAGCTCTATATGAAGCCTTGTACGATAGGAAGTGTAGATCACCACTTTGTTGGACTAAATTGAGTGAGAAAAGCATAATGGGTCTTGATTTGGTATATCAAACCACTGAGAAAATTGAGACTATCCAGAAAAAATTGTTGACTACTTAGAGTCGACAGAAGAGCTATGCAGATAAGAGGAGGAGACCGTTGGAGTTTATGGTGGGAGATCACGTATTTTTGAAGGTCACATCTATGATTGGAATTGGGAGGTCTATTTGTGTAAAGAAGTTGACTCCCAAATTTATTGGGCCATTTGAAATTCTTAAGAGAATTAGGCCTTTGGCATACCGGATTGCCTTACCCCCTTATTTGTTGGGTGTGCATGATGTATTCCACGTGTCAATTGGAGAAGTATTAACCTAACCCTTCACATGTGATTGAGCTCAAGGATGTGGAGTTACGTGAGAATTTAACATATCGAGCAGAGCTAAAGAGAATTGTGGATGTTAAGGAGAAACAGCTGAGAAATAAGACAATTCAGCTAGTGAAAGTTATTTAGAAAGGGATGCCTTTTGGTGATATTGCATGGGAAATCGAAGAGAAGATGAGAAACTAGTATCCTCACTTGTTTCTTTGAGGTATGATTTTACTAGCTTTGCTAGATTAAGTGAATTTTGGGGACAAAATTCCTAAAAGAGGGGAGAACTGTAACATCCCGAGTTTTAATTCCCTGATTAATTAAATTTAATTAGGGTAATTAAGTAAATTAAAGTGGTGTGTGGCCAGAGTGGTTTAACAACTATATTTGATGGTATTTTAGCCCTATTGTGGGTCCAGTATCAAGGCGGGCTACTCGGGCATCGAAAGGAGAAGATAAAGAAGAGTTGAAGTTGCTATACCACACACCGCGGCACGTAGATTGTAACATCCTTTCATATATCCACTTAATATAAGAGAAGACTGTGATGTTATTATTAACTCACATCACATAATAGTCAAATTTTTTTCAAAAGCTTCGACTGAAGACTTACTTTATAGAATCAACTAAATCACAATTCAATCAGAGAAAACACAGCAAAAATAAATCATACACTTTCCTAACACATAGTGGACATGACCCACCAGCATTCGTAACTCAAATGCATGTATTTTAGCACACAATAAAACTGAGTTTTGGTCCATGCACAGCGGCTGACGACCAGTGCATCACGGCATGTGGCACTGAGCCACACGCTCTCTCTGTCTATGTCATGCACCACGGCTTGCATCTCCATGCACTGCGGCGAGCCTGTCCGAATTTTTGCTATCATTTTGACAGCAAAAATGACGAACTTCCTGCGTGCACCATTTTTGCATATAACATTTAATTGGAGTGATTCAATCGCCCACACGAAACTTAGTTTGTATACTAACTAATGAGATAGGTTTGGATATGATCTAACGGTCCGATTAAATTTTGGATACCCGAGTGTAAAAAGTTACTTTTTCTAAAAATTTGGCACACCCAAGCGCTCAAATCAATCCCCTTCTCTCATTAGATCATACTAGGCCTTGAACCAAGTTCAAAAGGATCTAAAACACCTGACTGACCGTGTTTAATCACAATTATATACATATATCAAAATTTGACCCCTCTGCGGTTAATTTCTACAATTTATTAATTTCACAAACTATGCCATTTCTTAGCATAACATAGCCTACTTGGCTATTTTTCAACTCATACATATACAATCCTATTCATATTACAACCTTACCCCTTAAATTACTTATTTTATTATAATTTTGGCTTTTGGCTTAAGATTCACCCATCACAATCAAAATACAATCTTAGCCCCTAAATTACTCATTTCATCATAATTTTAGCTTTTGGCTTAAGATTCACCAGCACATAATCATTACAACACAAACATACTCACATCAAAGCCCTTTTTGTCTTAAACAAAACATATACACATAATTGGGCTTGATTTCATAAAAACTCCATTCAATGCATGCATGTAACTTATGGCAACTTATAGACACTTATATATACAATCTTTCGATTGAGTTCATTACACAACCTTAGAGTATACGGCTTCTCAACTTAAGCCGGTCTAGACTCTCTTCCCTGGGCTTGATCACTTCTCAGTCCTGTAAACATGTAACCATGGGGGTGAGATTAAAATTTCAATAACAGAATAACTCATTCCTATTGACTATCACATGCAACAATATGAAAGTAAACATAGTATATCCTTAAAACTTCATAAAGTAGTATTTACATATCACATTTCATTTTCCACTTTTCATCAATCCTAAAAGATTCCGTGCTATCTCAAGATATTTCATCATATCATAAAATACTAGCATGATCTCTACCAACTAGTCCACCAAATTATCTTGACATGAAACCATAAGCTCATATCAGACCAATGTACACTTTCATTAGTCTTGAGCTCACCTACAGTGGTAGAATTACTAAGCCAAAGATGTTCTAATGCACAATACGGACTATGATTTTTTCTCCAATACACACAATGGGGTGTCGTTGACTCCCACCCGTACCACAAAGATACTAAGAAATCTCTCATCTCTAACACAGTACCTTAATAGGCACTCAAGAGACCTTCTCTAACATAACACAAAGCTCTGCTAGGGTTTACTTGGGGACTACTATGAGAGTATTTTAAAGGCTAAAACACTCAAGGTAAGTATTATACTCATTAATCTTCCATTTTTCTCCCACATTTATGAGTTTTTGGTTAGGGTTTGATAGTGAAAGTGGGATTTCGGTCCATATTGATTATGAGTCTGAATTTGTTAACTCAAATGGAGTTACTAGGAGCAGATTATAATATTTAAGTGTAGGTATGACAAGTTTTGGTGTTTTGGGTTGTGTGCACCATAAATGTCCAAAAATTCCATTTATTATGAGTGGTTGGAAGTTTGTGATGCTATCAATGGGAATTTAATGGCTCATTAATGCTATTGGGGACTAAAGGTAATTCTTAAA